AAAATCGAGACTACAGGCTTCGCAAGAGTATAATGTGTCCCCAAGAGGTATCATAGTCTGGCAGGCACAAAGTGGTGCCATAGGTGGGGTCCCACTCCACACCAGCATGTCTAGTGTGAACTTAGGCAAGTAATTTTTGCTCTGTGCCTATGTTCTCTAAGGTCACTAACTTTTCTAAAATTTCTTTAATATGCAAAAAAAAAATTTGCCTTTATGACTTTTCGAGACTCCGTCTGACAGGATAAAGTGATTTATTATTTATTTCCTTCTAGATCCCAGACTGGGTTCTCCCCATTTCCATTCCCTCAATAAAATTCCTGATGATTTATGATTAGGTCTTCTCTTCCTTTCTTTAGCCCTCATTGTATTCCCCATCACACTCACATCCCATGTGGTCTCTTCGGCACTGCCAACATCTCCCAAACGACACCAGTATAGCTGGAATTGCAATGCTAAACAAGTCTCTATGCCTGGAAAAGGTCACTCCTACCTATACAAATAACTAATTATCTGCTTTCCTTCTTTGTCTACATGCTAAGGAAGAAAGTAAAAATCAAACTGCCATAGGAGTCAGGCAGATTTCTCTTTCAGTGAACTCTTGTCTAGAACTTTTATTGCACAGAAGAAATATACATAGATTGGATACAACAGAACACTAATCTCATTTTCATATTGTCATTTTGTTACCTTTAGTCTCATTACATCAAGAAACAGAGGAAAAGTGGAATAAAATAACCCATCAGATGTCATTTAATTCACAGTCCTGCCTTATTAAGGCTCTCAGGGCCAGAGGAAGATGCAGAGGTTCATATGAACATAATATCTGTGGTTTGCCAAGATAATCAATGATTTCAGGGAGTTCAGATCTGCTGTTCTGCTGCAGTTCTGTTTTTTTTTCTACCAGGATTTTGTAACTTCACAACGGGACCAGCTAATATCATCATAATTTTATCTCTCTGCATGCAGTTTTAACTCTGCAGCCCTAAGTTTGCAGCTACTGAACAAAGCACAGAAAACAAGTACATATTTCCAAAGTAGGAAAAGGAAATAGCTTACAACATGGCTACTTTTAAGGCAAGAAAAGAAAAACTTCCATCAACAGTAAGCAGATCAACATCTCATGATGGAAGTACTGATTTATCTCTCTTACAGAACCACAAGCCCGTTATTGGATAAATAAACTGCTTCTATAGGCACACAAAAGAATTGTCAGACAATCCATCATAACTGTTCTCCCTGCCTACAGAAAGAATAGTCCAGTATGAAGGAGAGCACATTTGATACTTTCTGCCTTTAATGTAGCTAGGAAGTGAGAAAGAATCTTATTTGAGGGGAAAAAAAAAAGTATCCTACAGCATGTAATTCAGTGGCCCAGGTATTCTGAAACAAAAAACAGTATGATTATTTTATCCAGATATACTTTTTTTGGCCCAAAACTTTTCAGTGAAGACAAGTCCCCAAAGATAGCAGCACTTTGATGAGTACCAAATGGCTGATACCAAAAGCCATAAGCTACTTCAGGATTTCATTTTTTCCTAAAAAGTGAATGAAGGGAGTTAACAGCCCCACCTGGGGAGTCATAAAATGTAACTCTCTGATATGAAATCATTTTTTGCGCTCAACAAGCTTTAGTTGTACCCTCTGCATGGATTTTCTCCCCAACTGAATGCAACTGGGAGGTTTCTCTCTCCATTCATCTGGAAAATCTTTCTTGAAAGGCAAGGGGAAAGCTTCCCTCTTTCCTGACTTGTCTGTGAAAATATGGGTCAGGAAAGGAAATGATAGTGCTCTCCTTTCAAAAGTAGAAATACAAACAGATGAACATGTACAAAAATACTACTGTTACATCCAATCTCTCAATTTTCTAAAACAAAAGAAGAAAAACATGAAGATCCTCATGAAAATACAGAGCATCTTGCATTATCTTGCCAAGAAAAAAATTTGTGTTGTGAGCCCATCTTACTGAGCAAGCTGGGAACAAGACTTTAAGTGGAAAGAAAAAATGCACCTTCAGCCAATTGCTTTATTAGCAAGCAGAATATGATCCTGATCTTTCAAAGGGTAAAAAGAAAAAAAAAAAAAAAAAAAAAAAAAAAAAGAGCCAAGATAAATGCACAGGGCCAGCTATTCTAAAGACAGTAATGAAAAACGTTACTTTTAAAACCTCATCAGATGTTTCTAGGATTTTTACAGGCACATACAGATAAGTTAGCTGAAAGAAATTTCAGTAAAGATTATATGATTTTATGCTGGCTAAAGGACCGAGCTGTTCATAAACAACACAACAAATTGTGCCACAAATCTTGTGCATCAGCACAGCTCATCACATCAGTAATTAGAGGCATATAACTGTGACTAAATCTAAAGATCAGCTGCAAGGGCAGACAATTCAATGCTCCTGCTACTGCTAAGAAAACTGGATATCTAATCTGGGAACCACACTGCAAATGAAGGAATGCAGAAGTACATATGTTCATTTCCATGGAAATGCTTTGGATTTGCATTCTGCTTGAAAGATTACAGGCCTAAGGATTCTTCTTGAAATTGCTTATGAAACAGCAACATTTAGGTAATCCAGAGAGGATGCTGCATTTCGGGGCTCGTCATACAAATTTATTTCAGACAAGTGATGATTTCTAGCTCTGAACCTTGTGCTCATCAGCCATCCATATTTTCAGAATGTGACTGCTCAGCATTCTCTAAAAATCAGGCCCCAAGAAGTACTGAGCATTCAGAAGTTAGGAAAACCTGATCCAAGTTCTATCTCTGCCTTCCTCCTAAGATACTATCATGTTCCATAACCAAAGTAGCTCTGTACCTCTAACAACCCCATTCTGCACAGAAAAGCTATCTCAGCTCTTATCTACAACTGCTGTGAAAACAAGGCTCTGATAGGGTGCTATGCTCAAGATACTACTAAAAACCAGGCAGTCCAACATACATCCTTACTCCCCTCAAGCTAAAATAAAGCCTTGGCTTCCTTTATATTTGATGCCCTTTTTAATCATTACTGAATTTATCTATACTCTTTTCCAAAGATGTTATCTGATTACAGTTACTGTTCAAACTTCCTTGTGATAACTGCAGCTGAAGCTTTGATATCATTGTTTAAACTCATCTATCTGAAAGCTTCAGCTGAAGATTATTATTCTGACAAGAGTTTTTCTAGACAGGGCTGATGAAATTAACTGGAGAGCCACAAATGAAGATTTTAATCAAGTTTAATACCTTCATTGTTAAGGGTTGACAACAAGTATGAACATAGTGATGTTGTCATCTATTAATCCTTTGATGCTAAAAAAAGAATGGAGGCTTTGGCCTTACCTTTGCTTTGATGAGTGTGAGAGAATTTAAATTTGGAATGATAAGCAGAAACTTTCTCAACATTTCTGCCCAGAGACAGGAGGTAAAAGTCTACCAGCAGAATCCCCTGATGCTCTTTAGAGATCCTGGTACTGCTGAGCACTTGTGTTTGGGTCTCTGTTTCTGAGATAACGTGAGTTCCTGAACAGCTGGTTCATAATTATAAAAGGGGGAAAAAGTGTGTCCTCCAGCCAGCAGCCAGTGCCAGGGAGCAGCAACTGTTGAGCCAAGATCTCAATTAAAGTACAATCTACAGGTCTCTTTAGACTGTTTCCGAGTCTTGTAACTGATAAATTAATTCAGTGATCACTTCCTGAGCTTGATGCTGATAATCCCCTCCTACCAATATCTTCTGATCAAACATGGGGTTGCTTTCCTTCACATATAAGATACCAGCATCTGATTCCCTTGCAGTATCTAGCCAACTCCCTTATTCCAACCATCCAGGTTGGCTAACACCACAGGGTCACAGGGGTACAGGGAAAGGATGTGATGATTTAAACAAAATGAAGAAATGAGCAGAAAAAGCTGACTCAAAGGGAGGAGAACTGATAATGTCTTGAAAAGTTGTTAATTTTGCTTTCCAAAGATATCCAGTAGTCGGCTTGAAAATGTCAATACCAACTCCATACTGCAGCCTTTAAGCTTGCTGCTTCCCAGTTAAGTAGACATAAAGCCCTGCACTGACAGGTACATAATGGGAGAATATTTGGCTGAGAAAAATTGGAAGGAGCAGCTGAGATCAGAGGTGTGAGTGACAGCTTGTGTTGGGCTTGCATGTCAAGGTTTTGGTAGTGAAGGGGCTGCTTGTGTGAGAAGATGCCAGAATCTGCCCCCATGTCAGACAGAGGTTCAAAGATGCCAGATGGCTCCAAGACAGACCCATCACTGGCCGAGGTCATCAATGGCAGTGGTAGAACTTTTGTGATAACGTATTTAAGAAAGACTTAAAAAAGCTGTGCAACAGCATCTGGGAGAGAGAAGTGAGAATATGTAAGACAACTATGCAGACACCAAGGTCAGTGAAGAAGCTATGGTTAGAGAAAGACTCCTTCCTTATAGCTGACTTACTTTATGAAGTTTCTAGACTCATACAAATTATCTTTCTTCCTCAAATGTTTCCACCTCCTTGTTGATGTTAAACCAACACTGATGTAGCCATAGTTAAAGGCAGACATGAAAACCCTTGTTAAGAAAATAGAGAAAGGGAAACAGGACTGAGCAGATGGCAACAAGAACCAGTCCTCAACGTTCCTGAGGGCTTGGACTAAGGACTGAGGTCTTTAATCCTTTTCTCTCTATCCTTCACAACCGTGTGAATTCCAGAGGAGAAACTGCAGTCAGATCACAGAGAGACAATGAATTGCATTTATGGAATGTAAACGCATGTTCAGCATCTCTGTATCACTGCAGACTTTTGATTTTTGTAGGCTTGCACAGGAACCCAGCTCTGAAGTAGTTAACCCCAAGTGCTCTGGAAAGCATTACATGCACATGAACACATCATTGCATGCTATGGTCCCCAGGGTTCACAAAAACAAACCCCCAAAACAGTTTTGTTTTGTTTTGTTTTTAATTTTCAAGAAGAAAATCCTTGCCAATTTCCACAATTAATTGACATGCTTTTTCTTCTACAGCATTTTTGAGCGATGGTTAAGAAGACACAGGCCCATGCTAGAAGTTTACCCAGCAGCCAACGCACCCATTGGGCACAATCGAGAAAATTACATGGTCCCCTTTATCCCTCTTTACAGAAATGGAGAATTTTTTAAACCCTCAAGAGAGCTGGGGTATGACTATGAGTATCTGCAAGAACCAGGTAATGTTACTATTTTGGGTGAATGTCAGATTTGTTGCCTATAACCTAGAATATGTCTGTAAAACGAGATTATACTAGAAAATCCTTCTATTCCAGACTTTTTCCTGAATAGAATCCCAAATTATACCTGCTTGTTTTCACATTTTTATCTGATGTAGAGTCAAGATGATAACATTGGAAAAGTTCAACCAAAAATCAGTCATTGATATCAATCCTATCTATCCTAGCCCACTAAGGGCAGAATCTGACCCACATGGTCATCTCACAGTCAGAACTGGGGAGATTTTGAGTCTGCCATTCGCCCAGGGCAACAGATGCAGCTCAATACAAATAGGAACCAGTGAGATTTTCAGACTGAAAAGCAAGTCAGATCCAAATCTCTCTTTCTAGTTTATAAATGTAATCTCATCTCTTACAAATCATGGAGTAAAATTCACTGTGGCAGCAAAGGCCAACATAGGGTCTGTGCAGCACTTAAACCAGTGCTTACCCTATTCTTATTTATATGAACACAACTTTATGGTTATTTATATGAACACAATCATTCGTAATGATTATTTCATTTAATCAAATAGATTTTGCACTGTTTAGTGATGGTTATGACTTGCATTGCTGTTCGAAGATAGTTTTGAGTTGGGCATCTTGACACAAGGAGGACAGAAGCCCGTGGGGCTGTAGCTGCTGGGAAGCCTCAAGCAGACCAGGCCTTGTGTCCTGAGTGAATTTAGTATTCTTACTTGAGTAGTACAGGCCTATTTATTCTCTACTGGAAGGGTTAAAATCTGTTAAAAGATACAGTTGTCTATAACTCAGGACTGTTAAGATACTTTGGTCCAATCCTTTATAAAACAGGTTATTGGAATGGCCAGATCTCTTACATCCACCACTGCCAAAAGCTACCCAGGCTATGGGATGCAATTGTCCTTGAAGAGCATCGGCCACTGAACAGGCCGGTTGCTGGGCATGTTTTCTTTTCCTGTTTGAGGCAGAAAATTTCCATGAATTCAGCTCTTCAGTTAAAAGGCAATTAAGAGCTAAAAGTCCAATAGCTGTATAGCAAAAGCACCAGGGACAATTTAGTAATGCCAGCATTCTCATAGCTTGTTTCTTGTCTTTATCAAAACAATAAGTCCTCAGGGCATCCCTGCCTTTCTGAGAGTTTGCTTGCTAATGGGGATGTACAGTTTCCACATACGTGATAAAACATCCAGTCATGCATTTAGTTTATTCGTTCACTTCAAGTAAAATCTAGCTTGATCCATAGCCACCCAGAAAATGTGGTTCTGACTTTTTAATGGGTAGTAAAAGGAATCTGCAAATCTCATGTATAATGCTTCAGGCTGTTTCAGAATCACAACCCAGAGACTGCAGTCAAAATTTCTCCTAACATCATCATCATCATCAAATGGTTTGGGTTGGAAGGGACATTAAAGATCATCTAGTTCCAACCCTCCTGCACGGGCAGAGACACCTTCCACTAGACCAGGCTGCTCAAAGACCCATCTAATCTGTCCTTGAACACTTCCAGGGAAGCCACAACTTCCCTGGGCAACCTGTTCCAGTGTCCCACCACCCACACAGTGAAGAATTTCTTCCTAATGTCTAATGTAAATCTATCCTCTTCCTGTTTAAAGCTGTCACTGTTTGTTTTATTGCTACATGCCCCTGTAAAAAGTCCCTCCCTAAAATAATAATTTTGGTCTTATTAGTCACATTTTTGTCTTTTTATTCATGTTGCATAATTTAATTCCTAATAAAGACCAGAAAAAATTATACATAGTTTTAATTAAAGCCACTAGTTTCCTAAGACCACATATTCCTAGAATTGTGTCACTAAAAAAAAAAGTCAAATATAATGAATTTCAGAAATATCAAGTCCTGAACTGGTACTGCAAAAGAAAGCAAATAGTAAACTATTTACCATTAACAATTCAGTTCTGTTGCCTCCTTAGCTCTTCCCTTTTCCAAGGGAGCAGACAGTCCTCAGAATATAAAAATTCATGTTAAATTCTGCCAGCATTCTTAACACAGAGGTAAAGAAAGTAGTTCCTTAATTATTTTGAAAGATCAACACAAAGAGTGAAATTCAATCTTGTTCAGAAAGCCCAGATAATCCTTGAATGTCACTCAATCCCTTGCTAAGCTCACGGTGAAGAAGAGAGCTTTAGCTATTTCTTATCGGAAGGGGCAAGAAACCAGTTACAAAGGGAAAATGGGCTGGACTCTGAAAATGCAGGTATGGTTTTTTTCTCAGCACTCCAGTGTTCAAACCCAGACTTTTCTCCAGAGAGGAATGCTGGGTTCCTTTTCAGAGT